AAAACATCTGAGCTGCTGCACATTTACTGTGATGTTCTGGTCCTAATGTGCATTTCTAACCCACCCTGGGTACACCCTGGGATGGGAACCAGTGTCAGCCTTTCTGCACTTGGAAAAGCCCATGAAGGGGCTGGAGGAGCTCTGGGAGCACAGGGGAAGCCTGGTGGGTGTTCAGTCAGTGATAAACCTGCTCTGCAAGCAGAACCTCTGCCAGCACAGAAAAGGGCAAAGATTTTGGAAAGGACTTCACACTCAGCTACTGAGCACTCAGCTCCTGGAAAACCCAATTATCTGGGACAGGGGCTCAGAGAGGCAGAACAATCCCTGCCCTTGAAGAGACACAAAAGCTGACTGGATGATGTCCAGACCGACTGGACCTCACTTTGAAGCTGGCTCTGAAGACTCCCTGAGGCTCCTTTCACCCCCCATTATCCTCTGACTGTAGGACTGCACATCCCTGACACAGCAGGGGAGTCTCAGTTGCACAGGGAACAGCAGGGCTGTCCTGGCCAGGCCTGGAACACTCCATGGAGCTCAGCTCCCTCCTCAGCTCCCTGGCATGGGGTACCCACACCACAGATCTGTCTGGCTCAGACCCTGAGCTGGTTGATACAGGAGAACAGCTCCTGTCTTGTCAGCATCCCACAGTCCTGCAGATAAGCCAGAGGGTGCCCCTGGAAAAGCAATCTGCAGGAAAAGTGAAGGGCTGGAGTGAAAGGCTGATTGGCTTGTATTTGGATTTTAGTAAAAATGCAGCTACGTCAATGTTTGGCTCTAAAAAAACCCTTTCAGGTCTGAAAGCAGCTCCTTTGAGCCTTGCTAAAGTGGAGTTCTTGGCAGTGGGGTGGTGTCTGCAGGGGAAACACCAGTTCCCACTGACAGACACAGAGAGGATGGGAACTATCCCTCCCTTACACCCTGAGACACCTCAGGATTGGCATCCTGCAAGGAGGGATTTTACACCCTCATCTGGAGATCATCATGGAAAACAAGGGGTTTAGAAAGCCACTTTATAACCAAAAACATCAGAATAAATAAATGTGCAGCAGCTCAGATGTTCTGTGGAAGAGATGAAGTGTCACAGGCTTTTGATGGGATTCCAACTAATTCCACACACAAATCTGGCTCTAAGACCTTTCCTTCCAAGCAGACAGTTACTGAGACCTTCCACCAATGGATAAATGCACTGACTGACTGCTCTCCTTTTGGCCAAGACCTTCTCTGGCCTGTTCTCCTCTGCTGCAAAGCCTGGCTCTCCCTAACAGTGGAGAGAGGACCGAGCTGGGGGTTATGGAGTGAAGAATGGTGGGGTTTGCTGCTTGCAAATGTTTTTTGCAGGGACCTGGTCTGAACTGAGATCACTGGATTTTCTTGGACGTTTCTAGCCCTGCACCCCCAGACTGCACAGCATCACAGGGGAGGGTAGTTCTGCCAGCAGGGAACTCAGCCCTGAAATCCTTGTTCAGGGTTCTGTATTGCAGGACTGGCAGGAAAACAGGGAGGAGCAGAGACAGCATCACAGGGTGAAACATCAGAGAGTTCCCTTGGAATAATCCCTTCCATGGAGAGGGGTTCAAGCAGCTGCAGGCTCTTCCAGGTTACACCTTCCAAATACCTGGGACCAGTGAGAAAGGGGCTGAGTTGTTTCCATAGCCTGACTCTGGAAACTACACCCAGTAAGACTTTACAGAGACGGGTTCAGCACTGGACCTGCCCTTGTTCCCCACACAGGCAATAGCAGGGGGTGCTGGCAGCCCAGAGAATCCCCCAGGGCACATTCAGCCATGGCTGGTGTCCTTTAAAACACTCAGTGCATCCTCCAAAACGCTGCCTGCATTCCTGTGTTGCTGAAAGCTGCCTGCTGGAAGTGCTAATGTGCCGTTAGACTCTGTGTGATTATTATAGATGATAAACATAATTATTTTGGGTCCTGATTGCCTCTGCTGCAATCTCGCTGTTATCAGTTTTATGGGCAGAGTGTGAAGACGCAGATTTACTCCTGAAGGAAGAGCCAAACCTTCAGGGAAACGACCCCCCTGAGGCAGAGCTGTGCTGTGACAGACTCCAGCCTCTTGGAACGTGGAGTCTTTAAGATGCACCTGAACACCCTGCCCAGCCAAGGTCAGAGAGACACCGTGATGGGTTTCCTTCTCCTGCTGTAAAACCCACAGCCAGGAGAGCAGCGATGACAGGGTGGTTGGACTGACCTCTGCCCAAGGCAGAGCTGCCAGGCAGAGCTCAGAGAGCTCAGCATTTTAGGCAGCTGAATAAAATCAAGTCTCCTAAAGCAGCACAATGGCCCATTCGACCTGTGGGCACTGTCTGTGGAGCTGGGATTAGGGGAATCCTTTCCCACCCCAGCCAGGAGTTAATTGCCTTCAGATAAGGAGCAGCAGATGCCTCAGAGCACAGACCTCTGACTTTTGTTTAAAACGCTGACTAATCCATCATCCAAAAGAGTGCAGTTGCTTCCCAGCCGTGGGAACAAAGAGACAACACTGCTAAGCCCAGTGGGGAAAATGTCATTGTCCCTCATACAAGAGAGTGAGAGACAGCAAGCACATGCTGTGATACCTGTAGGGACCTGCATGGGATAAACAACCAATGGAAGGCCCACTCCTTGTGTTCTGTCATCTTCTCTCTACTGTCATATTGTCCTGTTTGTAGCCTTGGACTGTGAACTTCCTTTCATACAATCCCTGCCACATCCTGAGAGCAATGGAACTGGAAAAGTCTGGACAGCCTGCACGGCACTGGAAACTTTCCTGCCAGGGCAGGAGGAGGGGGGCTACAGGGAGAAGGCTGAGGGGCAGAAGGAATAGTGGGATTGGCAACTGAGGTTCACCAGGCAGCCCTGCTTCCCTCCACACTAACCCCATCATGACCTGGCTCCACAGAGACAGCCACTGCTTGGGCCAGAGCAATCTGGAAAACAACCCCTTCTTTAAGTTCTATTATTAAATAAATAAATCAATCCAGCTATCACGAGGCCCTGAAGCCAAGGCGGCCGAGGGAAGACTTGGAGAAGCCAGAAAGGCTCCAGTGAGAGCAGGTAACCAGAGCTGTGTTTACCACAGAGCAGAGACAAGGCTGCTCACACGGGCGGCTGCGGCCCCACAAACATCCCCTCTGGCCTGGGGTGGCTGTGCTGAGCAGTTACACGTACGGGCAGGGCGACGCCGAGCCCTGGCTGCTGAACAATCAACTTTTATTCTCTCCAGACCAGCAAAGCCAAGATTTCAGTAAACATGCAACCCCAAAAATGCGCCTGCGGATCGGGTAGAGCGGGACCTGGGCTCTCCCTGCCAGACTACAAAGCCCTGCTCCGGTGGGTGGTTTCACGGTGAGGTTTCTGTGGGGAGGAAGTGTTTCCAGTGGTCAAGGCAGGGAACGGGGGTTCAGGAGACCTGGATCCCATCCCTGGCTCTGGGAATCAGGAAAGCTCTGACTGCAGGCAATGCACACACTTGCAGGAGTCACTATCCCTCTGCCCAGCCCTCCTTGCTCAGGCACAAACTCTTGCTGTCGGAGGAGTGCGGAGGCACAGGCTGGTAACACTCCCTGACCTTGCAGGGGGATTGCAGCGCTGTGTGATTGATGCCTGAAAGGCTGTCAGAGCACTCTGGATGAAAATCTCTCTGGAAGGTATTGGCAGACGTGCACATACGGGTGCAGACACGAGAGAGACAGACATGCAGCTCACACACCCTCTGCTCCCTCCGTGCCTGCAAACCCCTACCCAGCCTCGCTACTCGTGTGCTTAAATATTTACAAGCTGGGTCTGCAGAAAACCTGGGGTTTAAAGCAGAGCAGCCAAAACTCAGCTGAACAGCTGCCCTCACAAACCCAACCCGCTGCTCTGACTGCCCAGACTCAGCCCCAGCTCTGCATTTTACTCACCAAACCAGGCCAGTGTGAAGCCAGACTGAGCCTGTGGCAGACACAGCCCAGCCCTGCTCACTCCTGGGCTGGAACCAGTGACCTCCCCTGGCCCTTGGCATTGTTCCCTCTTCGTTTCATCCTCCGTGCCATTAACATGCTGCTTACCCCCTCTTTCAGCTCATTAATGAAGACACTGAAGAAGGCTGGACTTAACCCTGATCCCTGTGGGCACGCCTTGGGATAAGCACCTCCTTGAGCAGCTCCCATCACCTCTTCCATAGGAAGGACCTTGTCTGGAGGTGTGCAGAGCTGTTAGAGCAGTTCCTTTGCAGTGAGCCCCATGGGGAGAACCCACCAACTGCACCAACAGTTTCTGTAGCAAAATAGAAAAGGAAGCAGGAAGGAACATCACACTCTCACAGGATGGCTCTGGTTTGAGCAGCCTTGCTGGGTTTGGCTGTTTACAGTGTTTTATCCAACTCCTGGGTTCACTTCCTGTCCTCAATGGATCTATTAACTTTTCTAAATGTTCTTTTACCTTGTTGGCTGCGTTTCAGAAATAGGTGGCAGGAGTCAATCACAGAGGACCAGTTTAAAACGTTGTAAGATACTTCCCTCAAGTGGAGGGAATAAAAATCACTCAACTGTGTGTCACAGGCTCTGCGTGGACCTCAGTTAGGAGGAAGATAATGAGGGATGGACACCTAGGTGAGGTAGAACCTACCTACCTGTTTGAAAGGTGTTAGGAGCATAGAAACACTACCAGGGATAGTGCAGAATAAAGTTTCCCACTCTCCAGACCTCGGGGCACCCTTTGTGGCAGATCCCAAAGGGGCCTGTGGTCTGACAGCCTGGCAAGTACCACACAGACAGCTCCTGTATATCCATGCCCAGGTGTTGGGAACAGCTTGAGTGCAAGCTGAGATGAGTGACAAGTGCTCCTATGTGGCATTTCAGCAGAGATGGAAGAGAAGATGCTTAGAAGCAGCTGGAGGGGTGAAATACCTGAGTCCTGCAGAACAAAGCCTCTCTGCCTCCCAGAGCAGGGACAGACAGGAAGGGAGAGCCAGGCCCAGCTGAGTGTGCTGGCAGAGCTGGGGGGTGGGATCTGCACTCACCCCGAGGCTCGTGTCTCATCTCCTGATCACTGTTTTCCTCAAAGCAGGCAATGAAACATGAACAAAGAACTCCGATTTCACTGTAGTTTTTCAGTTGTGGAGATGGCAGCCCAGCTCCAGCCTCCTTCCTGTGCTCCAAGCAGGAGAACGTTTCATCTCCTGCAAATGGGAAGAGATAAGAGGGGCTTAGCACGAGGCAGGATTTGTCTCTGTAACTGATCAGTCCAACAAAGGGACACACAACCCGTTTATTACTGGAAATTAATTGTGCCATCAAGGCAGACGCCTGCAATTACTTCTGTTAAATATTATCTTTCATTAACTGTAAAATATATAATTAATAAACTTGCCCCTTCATTTTTGTTGAGTTTCACTGCAAGGACCTTATTACTGAAATGAATCTCTCCAGCAGCACATGTCGACAGAACAGAGGAAGGTGCACGCCTCTCTGGGAAATGGAATTATGAGGGAGGAATAATCACCTCTCTTCGTGGCCAGGACTGTAGAGACACCCCACTCTGACACCAGTTGTTTAAGCTCGTGCTGCTTGGAAGCAGGCATGAAGAATCTGCTTTGGCTGGCAAGGATGGCTCAGTCTGAATGCAGCCGGGCTCATCTTTCACTGGGAAGTCTGGAGAAACAAAAAATAAATTGCATTTTTTGATTTACAGTCCATTAAAGGAGTTTTCTGACTATAAAGCTGCTCAGAACGACCTCGGTGGTTGGGCTGGTTCCTTTATAGGCCCCGTGTTCCCCCACCTCCCAGTGCTGGGCTGGAGCTGCGTGACTGATTTGCTTTCCACGAACATCCCAACTGTTTGGATTCGGGGAGGTTTGGCCACGGCTGTTAAACCATCCCAATTAGAAATGCTTCAAAAACGTTGCTGAAATTTGACTCCAAGCATAAAATTCCCCTAAGACTTTGTCTCCACTTGTGATCTTTACCTCAAGTTAGTTGATTGCCAGATCAACCAGGGTAATTAAAATGTTTCCAAAGGCTGTTCCGGGCAACACTTTTTGCCTCGCTGCAGGCGACAAGTGTTCGTGGTTTGCCCGAGGCTGATGCTCAGTCCTGCCTGAGCTGGCAGGGGCAGCACGGATGCCAAGCATGGAGGAAAGGCTGCTCCATCACCATCCTCCCCACAGGGGAAGGGGGCACAGGGACACAGGGATCAGTGGTGGAAGGGAGGAGTTACAGCACAGAGATACAACAGGACATAAAGAAGCTCACAGGAGGAGAAAAGGTTGTATGAATTTTAAGGGAACCTCATGGATGGCCCCTGGCAGAGCCAACAGGTTGCAGAGACATTCACCCCCAGCCTGGCAGCTTCAGTGCAGAGGAGCTCACAGAAACACATAATCACAGCCTCAGAGGTTGGAAAAGACCTCTAAGATCACCAAGTCCAACCATCTGCCCAGTACCACCACCATGGTCATCACTAAACCATGTTCTCAAGTGCCATTTCCACACATTTTCTGAACAATTCCAGGGATGGTGACTCCATCACTTTCCTGGGAGCCCCCTTCCAATGCCTGAACACCCTTTCAGTGAAGAAATTTCTCCTAATATCTAATGTAAACCTTCCCCTGCTGAAACTTTCCCTCCAAGGCCCTGGTTTGGTCCCATTTTGGGCTATTTCACAGCATCACTGAGGTTGGAAAAGACCTCCAAGGTCACCAACTCCACCCTGTGCCCCATCCCCACCTTGTCCCCCAGCCCAGAGCACTCAGTGCCATGCCCAGTCCTTCCTTGGACGCCTCCAGGGGTGGGGACTCCACCACCTCCCTGGGCAGCCCCTTCCAATGCCTGACAGCCCTTTCCATGAAGAAATTCCTCCTGATGTCCAACCTGAACCTCCCCTGGCACAGCCTGAGGCCACATTGTCTCGTCCTAAGTAGGGAAGGAGAGGGGTTCTCACCTGAACCAGCGTGCAGAGCTTTTGGCAATGAGATGAGCTTGGGGAGGGAGAGGGTGCCAGTTCCTGGCCATCCACTACCACTTTGTCACCCCATTTTGCAGTTGAAAAGGGCTCTGTGGGTCATGTGTGTCAGAAATGCACAACCCCTGACTCGGAGTAGGTCCTTTCTCAAAAAACTGAACTACAGAACCTCACCCTGCTGCAGCCCTGAGTCCAAAGAAAGGGCTCCCTTCTCCACATCATTTAACTACCACTTAAAAATGGTGTTGGACAAATGTTAAAACAGCCAACCAATTTGATTACACAAAAATTTTAGAGTCAGCAAATTATCTAGTGAAATGATGCATGTAGAAATGTTAATTCAACAGCAACTGAAACCTTCCACAGTTCTTACCATCTAAAGATGATGATTCTCAGCACAAAGAGGGGCCTGAGCATACTGTCCTTGCTGAAGAAATTATAGGAATATTCTAGCTCTCATCTACTCTACATGTCACTACATGCAGTGACATAAATAGCAGGGGCTGAGGGTGAGTTTAGAAGTGGGTTTGGGATGGAAGCTCTGAAACCATATTATACAGCTCTTTGCCCTGGGTTTGCTCTGGGAGAGAGGCTCATATATCAGCCCATTCCCATCATGTGTCTCTGTGCAGAATCTTTCTGTGCAAAAGTCTAATTTTACTGTACAAAAGCCCCAGGACACCTCCCTGTGTGCCAGGCACGCTCCTGCCCTCAGCACCGAGGAACCCCCTGGTGCACACGCGCCAACTTCCAGGCGCTGTGTCATCCCCCAGGATCCCTGCTGGCTCCGGCCAGGAACGCTGGAGAGGGAAAATGCAAGAGTTAAACAACTTAACTCTCTGGCTTTCGGGCTGCAGGAGGGGGAGGGAGCAGGGAGGCAAAGCATCTGGCTTCCCTGCTTCCCTAACAGCCTGGCGGGAAGGCTGCTGTCAATTCTGCCTTCTGCCTTGTTGGAAGAAAGTAGAAGTGACAAGAGGCCCTCCAGGCAGGCAGCCAGGAACCAGAAATTCAATTGAGCCACCTTCTAAAACTGGACTTCTTTTGGAGACCCTTTCCCTGAAATTGTTTTGACTTAAAAAAAAAAGACTGTCATCGCGGTTCAGGGCCAATTCATCACCCCTGGTCTCCTGGCTCCGCTCCCTCCGCGAGAGCAGGATTTGCACAAAAGGATTTCAATTTTCTGGACCGCTCTGCCACCAGCCTCCCCCACAATAAATACACAGACACATAAATATGCACACACACACACACACACACAAACAGTGTTATTTATAGGTGCAGGCATTGCCACAGACAGAAGTACACACGGGTGTGTTCCTTTGCTGGATAACGTGAGGGCTGGAAGTGCTAAAGCAGCTGAATTTGCTCCACATTCGCAGCTCAGGAAGCAGAGTGTGGGCCATACGGTCTGTCCCCAGGGCTTAGACCAACTGGTTATTGGCTGGTGCTGTTGTTCCTCTAACAAGCCCCTGGAAATATCGCTGGGGCTGCAGAGAAATGCAGCTGGAAGAGCCTTTCCCTGTCAGCAGCAATCTGTCACTCCGGGATCGCACCCGCCTCGTGCAGCACAACAGCTCCTGAGCTGCGTGTCAGAGTTAGCACAAAGGTCAGTCTGCAGGTAGGCTGGGGGGGGTTCTTTATTCCTGGGAATGTGCAGCCAGCTTGAGGCACCGTCTGGACGCTGCAGCAGGAATTCCAGCCTCACATATGCCTGGCTATAATTTCAAACGAGGGAGCATTTCCATTACAAACCCCATTTTTTTCCCCATGGATTTATACCTCAGCTATTGGGCTCTACTTAGGGGTGGACCTTCTTGACAGGCAGGGAGAAACTATTTTTCCTGTCCAACGTTTAAACCCAGCTCAGCCTCTTTTGCTTGTGAGATGGAGAGGGAAATTACGTATGCACACAAACACTCCCAGGCACACACAAAAAGCTCACACAAACACATGCCCACAGAGAGATCTCCTACCAAAAAAACAGACAAGCCAATGCAAATAAGCTCGATTTTAAGAGCTGAATTAATTTGACTCTATTATTCTAAATTATTAACAAGTTCCAGCAACCTTAGAACACAATAACCACACTTTCATCTGGGTTAAGTGGAAACAGAGAACGTGCACTGATATAGATGATATCAGTACAAATCTGTGACAGCGAAGTTGGAGGCAGAAACCTGAGCCCCTCTCCCTGCAGCAGTGTGTTAACAACCCCTGGATGCTTCCCCTCCCCTGGAATATTCCAGTGCAATGAATCACCCTCCGGCAGCGCCAGAACCCCCCTATTTTCCTGGCTGCCAGGTGAAACCTGACCTGCCCAGCACTCCACTCTGTTTATGACTTGCTCTGCCTTACTAAGCCCATTTTGGTGGGTTTTTTTTAACTCACTATTGATTCTACTTTGATGTAGTCCAATAAAGCACATTGACAGAAGCAATTTATGTTGGCCAGTGTCTCCAGTTCCAGGAAAGCCTTCCTGGCATATGAAGACAGGTTAATCACCTGGCAAGTACCAGCAATACCCAGTTATCCCAGTTTACCAGGCTCAGTCAATCCATGTCCGTGACTGAGATGAGGAACGACCTCCTGTTTCTCCCACTCTCAAGCAGAAATGGGTATGATTCTCTCTCTGATCACTTCCCAACACCCCATAGAAACACTGGGAAATGTGACAAGGATTTTCCCAGTCTTCAGTGGAAAATTCTGCAAGTGGTCACTGAAAGGAATTGAGCATTTTCTCACTCCTGATGGCACAGAAACAACCCTATGGCATCAGGGCTGGCACTGGTACCAGCAGGGCTCAAGCACCTGGAAATTATAAGATGCTTCTATTCCCATCTGCTGCACAGGTGTGTAAATGCAAATTTTGTGTCACAAAAATCTTGATTAGGCAGCTAGGAATACTATGGATTTATCCCATCAGCTGGAGCTCCCCATGACACACTCTGTTCCCTCTTCCTTTCTTGGTTTCACACCCAGACCTTCCCCCTGAGGCTGGGGAAGCACTAAGAGTATCATTCAGGGAAGGTGTTCAGTAGATGCTTAGGTGGCTCCTTGGTGCAACCCAATAGTTTCCTTGCCTCTTGCTAAGAGAGGGCAGAGGAGGAGAGCTGGGAGCTGCAGGGATTGGAACACTGAGCCAAATTTAGCCACAGGGCAGTTTAAAGTTCCTGTTGCATTTTTCATCTAAGTACAGCAAATCCCCCCTCTAAGCACCAGCCCAGGTGGCCACAGCTCTTGGAATGCTAACTGGGTGAGCAGCAGGTACTGGAGAGGGCGTGCAGCCAGGGATAGAGGGAGCAGCTGGAGAGGGCCAGTGTCCTTCCAGGCAGGCAATGCCACCTGTCAGCAGCACTCGGAGCCGGGCCCCGCTGCGGGGCGGCTCCAAACGTATCTGGCCATGCTGGATTCTCATCCATCCAAAGCTTCCTGCAGTCACCAAGCACTGACAGAGTTTCACTCCTCACCAGCTGGAGCCCTGGGAACAGGAATTCTCTCCAGAGGAGCCCAGGAGCTCCTCCACAGGGAGGAGGATGAGGGGTGGATCAGAGAGGCTGCACTGTGAGTGACACATCAGAGAGGGCCATCGGGCTCCTCCTGATGGAGGTGCCAAGGAGAGCCATGGGTGGTGAAAATGCAGCTCAGCACCTACCAAAGGAAAAGGATATAAAGAAAACGTGGCCTTAAACCC